AATTTTTGATTCTTTAAATGTAAAATGTTTAGAAGCATCAATTGTTACTTCAAAATTAGGTAATACGTATTCAGCAACTTCAAAATCTTTTTCAAATGTTTGATCTCCAACATTAGCTGTAATTTTCCAAGTACCTAAAACTGGAAATTCAGATAGTTCAATTTCTCCATTGAAAATTCCATGAGTTACAGGTGGGCGAATCCACTGTTTAATTCTATTTCCTTTTCCATCCTATAATGATATAATATAAATTCAAAAATGTTTTGTTATATATATTATTTGTTTAAAAATACTTACTGTAATATAAATATCTACTAATCTTTCAAGTGTAGGTCTAAGTCTAGAATTCAATAAAATACAGCGAAACATAACTTTATTTCCTGGTTTATAAATTGCTCTGTCAGTTTGAATAAAAACTGAATAACTTTTGAGAACATAATCTATTGATTTAGAATTTGAAAATTCTATTCCTGACAAACCACGTGCAATTAATTGATATTTGCCAGGAATAATATCACCAATCTAAATTAAAAAAAAATCTAATAAATAAAATTATATGTAAATAAAATATTATATGTAAAATATAAAAAAGTAAAATATAAATAAATTATATGTAAAATATAAATAAATTTAAATATTTACCTCAAATTGTAAAATTCTTGTCATATATGGTTGTACACGTATAACTTGAGATACATTGAATATTTCTCCATTATCAAGCAATCCATTCAGTTCAATATATATTGTTGATGGTGTTGATACACCAGTAGTACTTACAGCTACATGATATTCAGAATCAGCTCGTATTACCTTTGGAGCTATTATGCTGTAATATCTTAAAAAATATATCATAAAATGTGATACATTTTAAAAATATATCATAAATATCATGATATAAAATACCAAAGTATTTTAGATTATTAATTTTAAAAAATATTTGATAATATAATATTTGTAACCTATGTTTATCATATTTATATATATTATTTTAATTCAACATTTAATAAAATAAATAAAATTCATATATACGTACGATTCTGCAGTAACATTTAATATTATGCAGGATAAAAAAAAAATATGGAACCACTGCCAAAACATTTTTATAGAATCTGTAAAATTTAATTTTTTTCCTATATTCTTTCAATTAATAAATATTAAAGTTTATAGTTTAAAATTTAAAATAATTTAAAAATATTATATTCAATAGAATAATTATTGCTAATAATCATTATTAAAAAAAACTATTAAAAAATCAAGAAATTAATATAATTATTAACAGATAAATTTTTAATATTGTATTATTCATAATAAGTAAAGCATATGAATGATAAAAAATTATATTATTTTGATTAAGGCAAATTGTATATAATTCTTACATTCTGTAAATATACTATAAATATAGATGATATCATTTTATTATATAATTTTGTAATTATTAATACATATAGTATCAAACTGGTTTTTCCATCAGCAATTTATGCAGTCTCTTGCAATAATAAAGTGATTTATTTGCATGATTGTATAAACTAAGGAAAAACCAAATTGAAATTTCAAGACAAAATAATGTTATTTTTTCAATATCTAATAATTTATATGAATAAATTTGAAAAAAAATTATTGTATAAAATATTGTTTTATTAAACATTTTATAATAATTATTTTAATAAAATAAAAAATTTATTTATAAATTATATATTCAATATATACATATAATAGATTTAAATAAATTTTTAATTTTTAAAATTATATTACAATAAATTTATTACAGAAATCATGATGATTTATAATATTTTATATATATAAAATCTATAATATATTTAATTTATTAATTAATTTATTTTTATATAATTGTTAATATTATTATGATTATAGATACTTAAATTATCTATAATATAGTATATATCATTATATCATTTATAAGTATGTCATATACTACTAATATAATTACATTATTTAAGTATATCATATATTCATTATGGTATACTTAATACAATCTATTATAACTATTTCAAAATTGATTTCTTGAGCATTTGATTCATCATTTTCTGATTAGTATATAAAAAATCTTTATATAAAATTTAAATTTTTCTTTAAATTATTAATTGTTAAATTTTTTTTCGTGTAATAAAATATTTTATTTAAAAATAAATTAAAAATAAATTAATTATTTATAAAATTATATGATGTTATTATAAATTAATTAAAAAGAAATTTGAAATTGTTTTATAAAATATTCAATTTTTATTTAATACATATTTAAAACATATTTTTTAATTACAATTTTTTGAAATATACCGAAATATTATTAATATTTTTATTATTTTATATTAATTTTATATTTTATATTATTCAAAGATATATTTTTTTTATTTTTCATTAAAAAATAAGGAATATTAAGAAAAAAAAATATAAAAAAATGCATCTGTCATCTATGTTACCTGTTATGTTTTTTTGAATCGTCTAGTCAACGGAATTACTTGATTCGAAAGTAGTACAATAGTTTACATTTTATAAATCTCCAAACTCCTATCTATCTAATGAATATATTTTCACATAAATTTTATTAAATAATTGCGTATCCAAAAAATATTATTATTAATCAATAAATTAGGAAAATTTTTGTATTATTAAAATTTTAATTAAATTAAAAGAGAATTAAAAGAGAATATTTGCAATAATTTTTTTCAATAGATAAATAAAAAAAATAATTTACAATAAGATCACGTCATCTTAAAAAATATTTGTGACTCACCACGTCAAAGGATTGTCGATTTCAAGGATGTCACGCTGTTACCAGCGCTAGTAGCACTGGTTCTTTTTCAAAGAAAGCAGAGAAGAAAATATAGAAGACCTTAAAGCATCAATGTTTTCAATGCAACAGTTAGAAGAATACTAACAAGAATTACCAATCATGGTCCCAAGAAAACAAGTAGGCAAGCGCAAGTTTCCCTTCCTTCTGACTGCTAAACTTCAGCTATATATGCCTATTATGTTTTTACCGTTATAGAACAAGCTATTACTATAAATTCTGACTGTTTATTTGCATAAATTTTTATTATCTTATTACGAAACATATATATTTAACGAATTAAATTAATTTATAATATTCCATAATGTTACAATCTCATTTAATATTTATTAAAATTAATTAATCAGTCATAAATTAATAAAATAAACCGAAAAATAAATAAGTGTTAATGTTCAGTATTTCTTCAATTATATTTCTATATATATTATTAAATAAAATAATATATAATAAATGAATATATAATATTTTTAGAAATTTATTAAAATTAATTTATGATACTATCTTTTAATGAGAGGAATTTTTAGTTTTATAAAAATTACAAAATTATATTATTTTATTTTTTTTCTTTTTATTAATTCTTTAATTTTATTTAATTTATTTGTAATGTTAATATTTTTTTATTTTTTAATGTAAAAAATTTTTATATAAATTAATTTTATATAAATTAATAAGTTTTTATAAACAAAATTAAAAGAATCAAACAGATTATTAATTATTGCTAATCATTTTAAAGTTTCCAGATTTCATTTATCGACCTTGATATAAACTCCTAACATAGTTTAATGTATGTCATGTTTAAAATAAAGAAAATTATTACAAAATTCATTCTTTTCAGTATTATATAAATATTATTTAAAATATAAAAAAATTAAAAAAGAATGAAAATATTGTTTTTTATATATAAATATTGTTTATTATTAAATTAATTAAATACATTAGAAAAACAATTTTGAAAAATTATAAGTAGGAATTTTAAATGTAGTAACAGTGCTATACACACACATATATATATATTATAGAGAATATTATATAGAATTAGATCGACGGATAAAATCGACGTGGAAATGAGTGATTCTACATGAAAAAATGAATAAAAAAATATAAAATAAAATTTTTTATTTTTGTGAAAATCATAAATGATTTATACGTTGAAAAAATCATGTAATCAGCGAATTTTCAAATTTAATTTGTCGAAAATTAACTTTTATATGAAAAAAATTTATTTATTTTTTGTTTATTTTCATATGTTGAATTCTATCAATCTTTTATCAATTCATTTATATCTAATAGGAAATTAATTTTGCTTATATTTAAAAATGTTTTGTATTTGATTTATTTGAAAATAAAATTTCAAATGAAAAAATTTTATTCTACATCTTCAACTTATTTTTTCATGTAAAATTATTTTTTTCACATGATGTATTTCACATTATTCGTGAAATACCTTATATATTTGATAAATCAACAGTAAATCAATATTACATAAATGACATTCTTACATTTGATGTGCATTGATGTGATTTTTTTTTTTTTTTTTTTTTTTTTTTATAATAAAATAACTTCAATAAATAGTTTTTATAAATATAAAGGCATGTATATTTGTTTTTTAATATAGTATTTTAATATAATATAAATATGATTTATGTTAAAGAATGATTAATAAGTGACAATTAATATATATAAATTTTATTTTCAAAATCAAAAATATAATTATAACTTTTTTTTTTGAAATATCTAGTTATCATCATGATTCATTTTAAACAAATAAACAAATTATTTTATGTATGTATGTATATATATATAGAAAGTATAAATTCAAATAATGATTTCAATACTTGACATATATATCTTCAGGGAACAATAATAAATAGAAATATTTAAATATTCTTATTAAATATTTAAATATTTCTATTATATTCCTGAATTTTTATTAACTTAATTGTTTATTTTTATTTCAATTTTTATTAATTAGTATAAATTTTATGATTATTAGTAAAAGATTAATGTAAAAATTAAATTTTTAAATAATAAAATTTATATTTTATTCTTTTTAAATTTTTGGAAAAACAACTTTCCAACAACAATCCATATTCTTTTATCACAAATTTGATATTTTAATTTTCAACAGAAAAGTTTAAAAAAACAGAGCTAATTTATTTGTACAGTGTTTTAGAATAGAATAATAATAAATTTTTATAAGTATTAAAATAATTAAATATAATGTAATTATTACACATTTTATTAATTTTTAATCACTAAAACAAGATTTATTTCCCATAGATTTCATTTCTTTATATATTTTTCTTAATGTATCAGGATCAACTAAAAATCGTTGCCAAAGAATATTTTTTTCTCGTTCAAAACCTATATCCGCTTTCTACAATAAAAATTTAAATTGTACAAAAAATAATAAATATATAAATATAAATTGTAAATATATTAATTTACCCTTCGTTCTGTCATTTGATTTCTTATTTTCAATAAATCATTTTGTATCTTCTGTAAACTATCAAATGTTTCATCATAACATGTTTCAATTTCATAAGTAATTGGTTTAAATGTACGAGTAGATCCTTTTTGAATTTCATTTAAATATTGCAAATTTATTTCATTTTCTCTAAATATTATAATAATTTAATAATTATAACACTTTTTTTAAATGTATATTAAAATATAATGTAAATAAAAAAAGATTATTACTTACAATATTTCTAATCTTTGAATTTTTGAATTTAAATATGTTTTCAATATGAATTGTTTCTTAGTTTTATTTTCATCTATAAGATCATTGTATTTATCCAATACTGGATTTAATTGATGTATATTATCATTATTGTATAACATTGAAATAAAAAGTTTATGGAATGAATTATGTATCTTTGATGAAGATAATATAGTTGCAGAATATTCATTTTGCTGTTGTTGCATACTTTCCTATATATGAATAAAATTTAATTATAAATTAATTTATTAATAATATATATAATATAATATAAAATTTATTAATTATTATTATCTATTAATTACTCACACATCTTGTAAATGATAATAAATATTCTGTTTTTAAATAGTGATAAACATCAGCTACAAATTCAGAAACATTTTTAAGACAATGAAACTGCATTTCCATTAATATTCGTAACAAATCAGTGTGCACATGACCATGTTCTCGTGCAAAAAATTGAAGATTTTTTAATTTTTGTAAATGATTTTTTGTTTGTTCAAGTCGTATATGAGCATCTTGTTTTAAAACTTTAGTTATTTCTAATTCTGAGAATTGTTGCACTATTTCTGATAATTGATATTCTTGTAATAAAATTTCTTCTTCTAAGAAATCTCTTTTTTTAGTTAATTTTATAATTTCTGTTCTAATTTAAATATGTAAAAAATAAAATATACTTGAAAAAATAAACATGAAATGATTACATTTAAAGAATTTTTGAATACCTTAATTCAGATTGATTTGGTATTTTCAAATTTCCTAAATTATATATATTTTTTATGCAATCAAACATTGCAATATATGATTTTTCTTGTATTTTTGCTAAAATTTCTTCTATTTTTGCATTAGTTAATCTGTAAGATAAAATAATCATTTTGAATTAATAAATATAAATATGAAGAATTTTATTTATAATAATATTTATAATAATTAATATATAATTACTTTGTTTTATATAATGTCAATTCTTGTCTATTATCAATGTCTTTTTCTTTAGTATCATTAATTGAAGAAACATAATTAGAATCAATTTTTTGTTCATTCTCTGATATATTTTCAAACTGTCGTTTTATATGAACATCTAAATAATGACTATACATTTCTATTTTTTTAATAAAAGATTCTAATGGCATCTGAGTCCATAATAATGGTATTCCTTTCTGCAAATATAATAATATTATTATTATAAATTATAAAAAGATTTCAAAAATTACTTACATTTTCAGCTGCATCTGCATAAACATTCAAAAGATATTCAACTTCCTTAAAACATTTATGATTTTGTATATCAAAATCTTTTAAAATCACAAAACATTCTTTATATGCTTTGTCTGCTTCAATATTTTCTCTATCTAATAATTGTTTTTCTTGTTCTATATTGTTATCTAATTCTATTTCTAATTTTCTATAATAGTACATTATTTTATATGACATTAACTGTCCATATATATATTTGGATTCATTTGGGTTTATTTTTTCATTTTACACGAATAAAATTTTATTTTTAAATATTTTCATTTTTATTTGAATATTATTAAGAAAAATGTATACTTATAATTTAAAAATCTATTGAATAATGAAATAGATATAATAATATAATAAATAATTTTGAATTTTTTTAAGAATTTCAAAAGCTTAAAACATTAAAAAAAAAAAAAATGATATAGATAAAATAAACCCAAGAATATAACAATATTAGAAAAATTTAATACTACAAAGAATTAAATTTATCTGAATAAAAGTAGATATAATTATTATTACTTTAAATTCTGAATTCCATTTTGCAATATACGAATATAATTTTCATCTTCTTTATATGAATCTTTCAATATTTCAAATTCTGCAAATAAATCATTAATATCTGTGTCATCAAAAGAAATGATTTTTAATAAATCAGGATAATCTTTAGTTATTTCTTCTAATGAATGATCTAATTCTGAACCTTCCAACCATTCATTTGTTTCTTGTAATTTATTCTTTCTAAAATATAAAATATTAATTTTTAATTTCAATTCATATATTTTATTTATTTTTATTATTAAATATTTATTTTTTCAAATAAATTTTCAAGAATACTTGAATTAAGTTTAATGTAATGTTAAAACATTCTAATATTTAATAAATATAATTATTTTCTATTTTATTAATTAATAAATAAATAATTCTATTAATTATTAAATAATATTATTATTACATTTGAATATCTTCATCTGATAGAACATTTACATAATTAACATTTTCACAAAACCATTTCAAAAACGGTTGAACTGAAGAATTGTCACAAATTTGATCTAATAGATCTGGTGTAACAACATTCGAAAGTTCCGAACGTAAACCTCGAACTTTATCATACAATATTTTACCAGAAATATCCATGATATTAAAAATAACCAATATAAATTCAAAATTAAATACACAGAACATTTATTATTCAATACAAATTGAATCACTTAATTTTCTACGCCTGCGTATTTGATTTCGATCACGTGATTTTATTACTGATCTGATTACTTATTCATTAATTAGGTGATCATATAATTCTTTTGTTGCTATTAATGTGACTAGAATAAAAATTTAACAAAAATTCTTAAAAAATTTACATCCAAATAATTTTAAAATCTTTAAATTCCGATAATTAAAACCATTCTTGGTTTCTTCATCAAAATTTATAAATACATATAAAAGTTAAAAATTTTAATACTATGAATTAAATTTAAGTTGATTATGTATATTTTAATGAAAAATTTAGACGAATAAATTAATTCATAGATGAATAGCTTTTTTTTCGTATTACAAAATTATAAATTAATCCTGATGATTTTAGAAAAATATTATAGGAAAAATTGATATAATAAGTTGGTAACATTACAATATGCACATGAATAGAAATTTATAAGCACATGTAATGTTATAATAACTGAATTTTATCCAAGATATTCTTTTTTGCAATTTAAAAAAAATATATATATATATATAAAAATGTTGATTGAACCAAAATTAACAAACACATCAAAAAATTTTGGTAAACCGCCAGAAAAGCAAAACCCTGTAAATAATTCTTTTTATAATTTAATTATTATTGTTTTTAAAAATATTAATTTTAATAAATTTTTTCTGTATTTTATCTATCTTAGTTATTACAAAGATTAGGTGCTCCACACATAGATTCTTTTAATTATATGCTAGAAGATGGTTTATGTAAAGCTGTTAAAGATAATCCACATGTTTATATTCATCTTCCAAATAAAGACAAAGTAGCATTATGGATTGATGATGTATCTATTGATCAACCTAGTGTTCCATCTGGTATAATTGGAGTAAAAACTCATAAAATTTATCCTACAGAATGCCGACAACGAGGATGTAGTTATAAAGGAAAGATAACAGTTAAATTAGGATGGTCTATCAATGATAAATTACAAGAGACTCTTGCAAGAGATTTGGGAGAAATTCCAATAATGATTAAAGTATGTAATATAATTCTGTAAAAGATGAATAATTTATTTATATGTTACTTGTATGTTACAGTCTAATAGGTGTCATTTAAATAAAATGAATCCTAAAGATTTAGTTCTTCATGGAGAACATGAACAAGAATGGGGTGGATATTTTGTTATTAAAGGACTTGAGAGAATTATAAGAATGTTATTAATGACAAGAAGAAATTATCCTATTGCTATTAAAAGATCAGGATGGAAAACTCGTGGCATGCAATTTAGTGATCTTGGTTTATTTTTAAGAAGTGTTAAAGATGATAATACCACAGCTGTATGTATATAATAATAAAAGTATTTTTGATAAATTAAATTGTATCATTATATTATGTTGTTATGTTTTACAGAATAATACTTTGCATTATGTAACTGATGGTTCTGCAAAATTAATGTTTTCCCATAAAAAAATTTTATATTATGTTCCATTGATTTTAATTTTAAAATGTTTAGTTGATGTCTCAGATATTTTTATTTATAATGCATTAATAGCTGGATGTGAATATGATTTATATTATAAAGGTTGTATTTTAAATATGTTAAGAGCAGTACATGAACAAGGTTTAAATAATCATGAAGAATGTAAAGCTTATATAGGAAAAATGTTTAGAATAAAATTTTTTGAATTACCTGAAGATGCTACTGATATAGATGTTTGTGATTTTATCATTAAGTAAGTTTAATGATCTTATTGGTAAATATATATTAATTTATATGTCATTAATATGTAAATATATGTAAATATATTTGTTATTAATTATTTTTAGACATTGTATAGCAATTCATCTTAATAGTCCATTAGATAAATTTTATTTACTTGCTTTCATGACAAAAAAACTATTTGCTCTTGCAAATAATAAATGTGCTGTAGAAGGTGCTGATTCTGTAATGATGCAAGAATGTTTACTAGGTGGTCATTTATATTTGCAAGTATTGAAAGAAAAATTATATAGTTGGTTAACTAATCTTAAAATGGGTATTTTGAAACGTGCAAGAAGTGCTGGTAATAGATATACTTTAAACGTGCGTAAGTATTTTGGAAGATAATTTAAAAATTATGAATCAAAAATTATTAAAATTAAAATTATTTTATATATATTTATATAGAAGAAATGTTGAATATAATGAAATATGGGAATTCATTGGAATCACAAATGGAAAATTTTTTATCTACTGGAAATTTACGATCATCAACAGGTTTAGGATTGATGCAAAATACAGGACTTACAATTGTTGCTGAAAATATTAATAGGATGCGATACATGAGCCATTTTCGTGCAATACATAGAGGTTCCTTTTTCCAGGAAATGAGAACTACAGAAGCTAGACAATTATTACCAGATGCATGGGGTAATTTTTTATTATATTTAAAAATAAGTAAAAAATAATTAAAAATAGAGTTTTCTTAATACTACACTATAGTAATTTTTAATTTTTTAATTTATAATATTATATATATATATATATATATATAATATATTATATATAATATATATAATATAATACATAATATATTTATATACATTATAATATAATATCAGGTTTTATTTGTCCTGTACATACACCTGATGGTGCACCTTGTGGTCTTCTTAATCATTTAACAATGAATTGCATTATTACAAAACATCCAGATGCAAAATTAAAAGCTAATATTCCTATTATATTAATGGATCTTGGAATGATCCCATTGTCGATTGCTGATAACTGGAAAAACTCCTATATTGTAATGCTAGATGGAAAATTAATTGGACTAATAGATGATAATATAATTGCACGAGTAACAGACAAACTACGATTGCTTAAAATCAAAGGACAAGAGGTAATATAAATTTTTATTTCTGTATAAAGAATTTGTATTTTTTTTATTATTTATATTTAGATTCCATATATGATGGAGATAGCATTAGTGCCAAAGAAAACTGTGCCAGCACAATATCCAGGATTATATTTATTTACAAGTCCAGCTCGTATGATGAGACCAATAATGAATTTAGCTGCTAAAAATGTAGAATATATTGGAACATTTGAACAAATTTATTTAGATATCTGTGTTACACCTGAAGAAGCCTATGAAGGGGTAATATATTATTTTTTTTATTATTTTCTTTTTTGTTATTTCTTATTTACTATGTTATTTTATTTCTAAAAATATTAATTACTATTACAGTTAACATCACATCAAGAATTATCAAAAACAGCTTTCTTAAGTAATTTAGCAAGTCTGATTCCGATGCCAGATTATAATCAAAGCCCGCGAAATATGTATCAATGTCAGGTAAAAAATTATTCAAAATGTTTGAAAATGTTTGTTATAATATATTTTTTATGATTATAACAATATTTTGTATTGAATGTTTTCATTAAACGAGTACTAAGGATATGTTGCTATTCATAAATAAAATTATATCATGAAATTATTATTATATATCTATAATTTCTCATCTTCATTGAATCTTTGAAATTATTCGGATATATTTTATGTTTTCGTTTATGTTACATGATTGCTAATTGCTATTATAATCATAAATATTAATTATCATTTTTGTTTTTTAGATGAGTAAGCAAACAATGGGTACCCCATGCCATACTTGGCAATTACAATCTGAAACTAAATTATATAGATTACAAACACCTGCAACGCCTCTTTTTCGACCAGTACATCACGATAAAATCAATCTCGATGATTTTGCTATGGGTACTAATGCAATAGTTGCCGTTATTTCTTATACAGTAAGAAAATATTAATCATTACATTGATGCATATTTTGAAAAATTGAATTTAACTTATTTATTAAGTTTTTTTCAACATAATTATTAATATGATTTATAATCTTATATTTTTTATATGTATAAAAATATAAATGTGAAAACAATTTAATAATTAATATAAATTTAAAAATTGTTTTTAATGTATATTTATTTTATTATATAGGGATATGATATGGAAGATGCAATGATCATAAATAAAGCAGCATATGATAGAGGTTTTGCACATGGAATGATTTATAAATCTGAATTTATAGATTTAAAAGATCAAAAAAGTTATTTTGCAAGAAATCCTGATAAATCTGAACTTGTAGAAAAATTAGATATTGATGGTCTTCCTCTACCAGGTACAATCATTTCAGAAGGTGATGTCTACTATTGGTAAGTTTGTATTTATTAAATTCTTAATGTTTTTATTAATTTTTTATTTTATTGAATAAAGTACATATTGTTTTAATAGTTATTACGATGCAGATCAGTCAACATACATTACTGGTAAATATCATGGAAAGGAAGATGCTTATGTTGATACTGTAAAACTTTGTGGAACATTACATAATCATATTCCACGTAGAGCTTGTATTACTTTTCGTATTCCAGTTAGTAAAATTTCAGTTAATATTTTATTTTATAAAATATTTTTAAATAAATATAATAGAGAATGTAGAATGATTCTATATAAAAAAAAAATGAATCAAAGATCTAAAATAAAACCTATTTTCGTAAATCGAATTTGAAACTTTTATTAAATTTGACTATAAGTTTATATAAAATTTTCAATAGATATCTTATTATTAAAATTAAATTAATAAGTAAAATAAATGAATAAATTGTTTTTAATATTAAAAAATATAAATATCATTTATTTGTAAAATCTTTATAAAAATTAAATTTAAAATATTTTTATTTATAGAATTTTTAATTTAATTTTGTTGAAAATAAATGAAAATATATATATTATTCTACATTTTCATTTTATTTTTATATGTAGAAATATTCATATTATTTGATTGTATTATTCAGTGCAATACATTCTATTTATATAAATATAGTAAATACAAATTTATTCTAAATTTTAGCGTAATCCAAGTGTTGGAGATAAATTTGCTTCAAGAGCAGGTCAAAAAGGTATCTGTTCACAAAAATGGTCTGCAGAAGACTTACCATTTACAGAAACTGGTTTAATTCCTGATATTGTATTTAATCCCCATGGTTTTCCAAGTCGTATGACAATAGGTAAAAAGATTTAAAAAAAAATTATATATTATATATATTAAAAATATTTATTTCCGTAATTGTTTAAGTTATAATACCTATATAAATATATATAATATAGCTATGATGATCGAATTAATGGCTGGAAAATCAGCAGCCATA